CTAGTATAAGCACGATGATTTTGGTAAGAGAATGATTTAGATTTTAAAGGCCAAAATAGAAAGAATGGATGGATGAGTGTGGCTGAAAAAATTGTAAACCAAGTCCCTTCTATGGCTATTGTATGAGCTAGATGTAATAAAGATTCTATTTTATTCAATAATAATTAGTTAAATGAATTCCTCACTTTTCTACACTACACTTTTCTATTCACACTACACTCTTCTATTCACAAACAATACTGATCTTTCTTTTTTACAAAGATGGGCGGAGCAAGTGTGTCTGTTCAAACTGTTGTTAACAACATCAACAATGAAATAAAATCAGAATTAAAAAATACTACAAAAGCAAGCGCTGAAGCAAAATGTACAATAGAATTTAGTAGAGTTTATTTAAAAAAACTGTGGACCTACTGGTTATACCACAGTATAACCAGTACCCATATGTGCAGACAATTTATAAGCAATTACATCAGAAATTTTTTTTAGTGATCACTCTTACGAATAATTGTTACTAATAAAACGTTTTATTCGATTCACATATTGAATTTATTGATCGAATCCATATTATTACTTATCTGTTTTATTACTTGTAAGGCACTTTTTTCAATTCGGTCCTGGATTTAACATGGTGGATGCTCACGTGATCCGAAAAGGAGATCAAATGTGCCGACACGAAATGGACCTACTGGTTATAAAGAAGGCTCGTGCGCAGCAGCTTGCCATGTCATATTCGTGCAGTCTCGGCAATGTCTGGCGTACTTCGGCCGGATAAAATAGCTGTCAGACGGCCGGACGACGGACACTTATTGGAGCCGTTTAGTATTGCGGGCGCATATGCTTGTTTAAATTTTATATGTTCTCTCGAAAATAATTATTGTATACAGTTTGTATCAAAATTTTACAGAAGTAATTTTATGCCTGGTAAGGACGCGAACGTACATTCGAGCACAAGAAATTAATCGCGAAATATCGTTACAAAATAAAACTAGAAAAAACAAGAAAAAAGTGTCTAAATTCATAAATAATTAAACTGAGTTTCTACATATAATTTTATACGACTACGGTTTTCTTTTCCTTTCCAAAAACTTTCATAATTTTTTAGGTGTTGTAATTTCATTTATTTCTTTCATTTCAGTTTATTTAACTTAATTTTATTCACTTACATAATGTACCTGGGTACATTAGTTCGTTTTACAAAAAACGTAATAACTTCGTATAGCAATACAACTGAGTCGACAAGGCACACAGGGGATA